TGAAAACTTACAGAATACTGAAAGTCATGACCCTGTCAAGTTGACACATGTTTTGGAGGGTAAAGAATTCAATATATAACATCCTTATTCTGTCATTGGCCCAACAAAGTTGGCTATTACTCACAGAAACAACACTATGAACTACAGATAGGAAACTTGCCCTACCCTGTGCCATCAGGATAACCTAACCCTGTCAATTTTGAAATAGAAAAGAGATTGAAAAAGAGGGATACATTCCCATCAAGAAAGGGTGAGAGTGGTGTGTATGCGTGGGCCCAGAGTCCCTGTGCTGTGAACCTCCTAGACACAGGGAGGATTGAAGACATGAATCTTCTCTCATAATCCACACAGACAGAAAGCTTATTGAATAAGCAGGAATATGGGGAGGGGATAGTTTTGGCGGATAGAGTTTCACCCCCTTCACCAGGGCTACCAGCTTTCTTAGAGTCCCCAGTTCCTCCATCACTGTCTTGTCTACTTAACAGCCTAAGCCATGGCTTCTGTTTGAAGAGACCCTGACAAGGTTCAGAACGAAACCTGTGTCCTGGTTCTATCTGTTGCTCTCAGAACCTTCATAGTGTCTGGGCCAATTGTGTCTTTGCTCAGACCTCAGTGTCCTCTTCTGAAAAAGAACACATAGGCTCCTCAAAAAATTAAACACAGAACTACAATGTTATTGTCACCTGCCATCAAACCAGTCCTCAAGTTCTGTTGTCCCCTCATGTTAGAATAGAAGTGTCCCTTTCTGGCTGTCACCTTTATGGAAACAGTTGGCCAGGTCCTTCTTCCACAGTGCTGGTGAGTGGGTTTGAACCACCAACCTTTGAGTTAGCAGGTGACTGAAAACTGATTACAATACCAGGTTCCTGGAATTACTGTATAACCTGGTAGTTCCCGGCATTCGCTGCAGCGTTACCCACGGTAGCCAGAAAGTAGAAATAACCTCAGGGTTCATGAACAGATGAATGAATAAACAAAATATGGGCTGTCTTCAAAGTGGAATAAAAACTGGCTGTCAGGACAAATAAAGTTCTGACGGGCAAGCCTTGGAAACATCATGTCGAATGTGATAAGATAGACACAAAAAGACAAATGCATGGTCCCACTTGTGTGAAATACGTGAGAGAAAATGCATAGAAAACAAAGCAGCTTAGTGTTATCAGGGCTAAGGATAACGCCAATCATCCTTAGTTAAAAAGTTTAAAAATGACTTTTTTTTTTTTTAAGAATGCAGAGGGGGTGAACATGTAGGTTGTAGTTAGTTTGGAATCTGCTTTTTCCAAGTGTGACTTTACAAACTCATGGCCACTGAGCCAATTCTGACTCATATTGACTCCCCACTGGGTTTTCAAGGCAGTAAATATTTTTTATATTTTCATTGTTGCATATTTTCTTTCCCCCTCTGCTCTCTGCTCAGCCCTCCCCACAATGCACCCCTTGTTCCAGATTGTTGTCACTCCTATAATGTCTAATTATATCTTCCCCTTATCTGTTCTAATGTGGTGTTCATTAGTTATTCACTCTTTCCTCATTCTCTCTCCAACACCCCATATCTGTTCTATTTTATAACAGCGGTGTTAGGCACCATTTGTCCTTTGTTATTATTATATGTGTGTGTGTGTGTGTGTGTGTGTGTGTGTGTGTGTGTGTGTGTACCGTCAAATCAGATTTGACTGCTACAGGAGGAGATTGCCCCTCCTTCTCCAGTAGAGCTGTTGGATTCGAACCTCATACCTCTGGGATTGCAGTGCAGCTTCTTACCACTAGGCCACCAGAGCTTGCCTATTTGTCCTTTTGTGACTGAGATATTTCACTCAATATAATGTCCTCCATGTCCTCCATGTTGAGTAATGTTTTATGAGTTCATTGGTTTTCAATGTTGTGTAATATTCCATTGTATGAATGTACTATAGTTTTTATATCCATTCATTCGTTGATGGACATTTGGGTTGCTTCCATCTCTTTGCATTGTGACTAATCCAGCAGTAAACATGGTTGTGCCAACATCTGTTTGAGTCGTGGCTCTGGTTTCTTTAGGGTATATTCCTAGTAGTGGAATTGCTGGGTCAAATAGTATTTATATTTCCAACTTTTAGAGAAATCACCAAACCTCCTTCCATAGTGGCTGTACCGTTTTATATTCCCACCAGCAGTGCATATGGGTTCCAATCTCTCCATAATCTAACCAGCATTTGCTGTTTGCTGCCCTGTTGAACTTTGTTATTGTGGCTGGGGTGAGATGAGATCTCATAGTTGTTTTGATTTGCATTTCTCTGATAGCTAGGGATATTGAAACTTTCCTCATGGGTTTGTTTGCCATCTGAATGTCTTGTTTGGTGTAGTGTCTATTCATATCCTGTGCCCATTTTTTTATTTGGTTGTTTATCTTTTTCTTATTGAGGTGCTAGAGTATTTTATAAATTTTAGATATTATCAGATATGTCTTTATCAAATATGTTTTCCCAATCTGTCACTTTCCTTTTTACCCTGCTGGAGAAGTTTTTTTATGTGCATAGGGATTTGATTCTTGGAAGGCCCCATCCATCTATTTTGGTCTTTCCTGGTTATAGGTTTTTCATTATGCTTGAAAGACTGTTCATGTTGTTGTTTAGGGCTTTTGGAGTTCTTCCTAGCTTTTCTTTGATGAATTTTATATTCTTTGGCTTGACTTCTAGTTCTCTGATCCACCTTGAGTTGGTTTTTGTGTATGGTGTGAGGTATGGATCTTACTTAAGTTTTCTGCAGATGGTTTTCCAATTTTTCCAACACCATTTAAAGATATTGTCATTTCCTCACTTAACCGCTTTTGTCTCCTTATAAAAAATCAGTTGACCCTAGGTAGATGAGCTGACTTCTGGATTCTATATTCTATCCCATTGATCTATGTGTCTGCCTCTGTACCAGAACCATGCTGTCTTGACCACCACAGCCATGTAGTAAGATTTGCAATCGGAGAGAGTGATGCCTCCTACCTCTCTCTTTCAATAGTGCTTTGCTTATTCAGGGTCTCTCCATTCCAGGTAAAATTGGAAATTGCCTTTTCCATCTTGTTGAAGAATGGAATGGGAATCTATATTGGGATCAGGCAATAAGTCTTTACTGGAGGAGACTGCCCAAACTTCTTCTAAGGAGTGCATAGTGGATTTGAATCACCAATCTTTTGGTTAATAGCCTGATGTACAACACACTATGCCAGTGGGCTTCCTTATGATTTTATAGTCATTGGGCAAATATATCACTCATGAACTTGTCCTTAGATATTTTGATGAAGATGTCTCTTGATGTGTATGAGACACACCAGATGTCCTTTCTGGTTTAGCCATAAAGAACCTTTCTTCCTTAGGAAGAAATGATATACATGCTATTCCAATTGCTGGGAGGTGGTCAGTGGATGGTAATCAGTTGTCAGCCCCTTCCTGGGTGGCTGATGAGTGAGGTTACAAAGACTTTGGGACCACCCTGGTGTGGGGTCTTCTATAGCTCCAGAATGCCATTATTGTTGACCAAGGACACTGTTAGGACTGTGTTGGAGGTCAGCTTCTCCCTCTGCCCACTCCTGCTTCTTTCCCCTGAACCCTCCACCTCAGAGTCTGCTTATTGGGCACCCAGTCTCAACACTTGGCCTTCTTGTCCATGTCTCAGAGGAAGCTACAGCTGAGCTGTATTCATAAGAACCCCTCCTCAGTCCTTTCCCTCAGAATGACACTCCTCGCTGGAGGAGGCCTCAATCTCAGCCCACCAAGATTTTCTCTGAAGCAGACTAAAAATCATCATAAGGGTTTTGGCTGAGATCTCAGCTCCAGCATTAGCCACACTTCAGAGGATCTGGCTTTTAACTATGTCTCAGCTCTATTTGAGAGCCTCAGATGTTCTGGGTCCTCTTTTTGAGGCAGGCGCCTGGGGCCTGGGCTCTTACAAGTGTTCTGAGTCAAGTGCTTGGAGATAGCATTGCTAGAGCCGAAAGGTAAAGGCGGAGGGCTACAGAACCAGACTGGGCTTGGACACTGGCTCTGACACTGGGAGTTTGGGTCAGTCAGCCTATTTTTCTAGGCTGCACTTAGTTTTCTTACTCTTTCTTCTTCCCTGTCCTTATTTAGTTCTCTCTTTTTCTGTTTTCTTCTCTTTTCATCCACTCACCTATTCTCTACCATTGATCTATCCATCCATCCATCCATCCATCCATCCATCCATCCATCCATCCATCTAAGCATCTACCCACTCTTCTCTCTATCCACTCATCCATCCATCCACCCACCCACCCACCCATCATGGACCCATTTATCTACTTATACTTCTATCCTTAAATCCATATATACGCTCATTCATCTGTTCTTCATCCATTAATCCATCCACCCATCCATGCCATCCAGTCATCCATCCAACCGCCCACTCATTTACCCAACCACCTATCCACCCATCTTTTATCCACTCGTCCATTCATTTAGTTTTCCATCCATCCATCCATCCATCCATCCATCCATCCATCCATCCATCCACTCTTTCATTCAACTCTCCAACAATCTGTCACACATCAATCTACTCATATATTCACTCACTCACTTATCCACCCATCCATGCATCCATCCACTCGTTCATTCAACTCTCCAACAATCTGTCACACATCAATCTACTCATATATTCACCCACTCACTTATCCATCCATCCATCCATCCATCCATCCATCCATCCATCCATCTCCCTTGTCCGTCCGTCCATCCATCCATCCATCCATCCATCCATCCATCCATCCATCTCCCTTGTCCGTCCGTCCATCCATCCATCCATCCATCCATCCCACTCCCATTTTCCTACTTATTCCAGAAAGTACTGCAGTTTTCTTATCTGCTAAAGAAAGATAACAATGACTTTCCCAAGCACTTATAAGGGTTAGTTAAGTAAAAAGTACATAAAGCACCAGTCAAAATTCAAGTACTAAACAAACAGCATTTGCTGCCACTGTGATCATCAACTCTTGCCCATCTCAGAAGTTAGACACCTGCCTGCTCATCCTCCATGGTGGAGAAAAAGCCCGAGGCCTCGGCTCTCCAGGGTCCAGGGCAGGAACCACTGCTGTTGGTGGTGGCTGAGGCTGCAGCTCCAGAGTCAAAGGACTTCACACATGACTTGGCCTCAGAGCCTGTGGAGAACGGAGGGACAAGGAAGCTGTCAGGGTTGGAAGGACCAGGGAGTCAGGGTCTGAGTCTTATATCTCCTTTGGTTCTCCTTGGAGCTTAGCTTTCAACAAAATGAGGTGAGAATCGGTGAAGGAAAGTCTCAACAATCTTTCAGATCAAGACACAGGCCACCACTTCTCCACCCTGAGCCCGGGGCAAACATTTCTAGTTGATCATGGGATTATTTCCATCTGAGCCATTTGACCTATGGGGTTGTTCCTTGTAAGGGTTTCCAGTGGCCATTTATCCACCAATAAGTGGGTGTTGGCTCATGAAGTGGATTCAATTGCCATAATTACTCTCATTTGACAGATAGGTTCATCTACCATTTCTTCAATATATTCTTGGGGTCAAAGGCAAGTTCTCAAGCCCACATTTGTGGGAACTTCAGGCTGTCTTATGTCCGCACATGCTATAGCTTTGTTGCCTTTGGAAGCCAAAGGTCCCCAAGTTTTGCTGTCTTCTGGGCAATGTGGACTAGAGGAATAACGAGGGCTTCTTCTTCTAGACCATGTTAACTAGATTGCATCCTTTCCTGGGTCCACTAGTCTAAAAACAATTTTCTTTTTATGTTGTTGGAGATGTACACTGGAAATCATATACCAATCCAACAATTTCTACACATAAAATTAAGACTGATTGCATTCTTCAAGTCATACAATTCTTTTTGCTCTCCTATTAAGAATTATTCTTCTACCATTAGCATGAATTTCCTGACCCTTCAATTTTTCATCTGTTCTTTCAAGTTGCGGTTATAAATTTGATCCTACATAATTCTTTTAAAAAGTACAACACTTAAAGGCAGGGTTTTTTTCGTTTTTTTTTTT